GCAAACCCCTGGTTCCTACTGAGCTACAGTAACTGTGAGTGACTGTTTGATCCAGTGCACTCAAACTTTTTAATGTGCAGGAGAACCCCCTATGGATCTTGATGAAATTCAGATTCTGACTCAGTAGGTCTGAGATGGGGCTGTGTTGCTGCATTTCCATCAGTTTCTCAATGATCTTTATACTGCTGGTCCACAGAGCACACTTTAGTAGCAAGGATTTGATCCCTGTGATATTGATAGCCTATGCTGGCAGCCTGTTTCTGTGCATGAAGTTTTATTGGAACACAACCCTGCTCATTTGCTCACATATTATTGTCCACGGCACTTTCATGCTACAAATGCAGAACTGAGTAGTTGCGACAAAGACCTTCTGGTCCACAAAGACTAACGTGTCTGTTATCTGGCCCTTTAGGAAAACATTTGGTGACAATAATTTAATCTAATAGCCAATTCTTGAGATTCCTCATGTTCTCCCTCTGTTAATAAATATTTGATAGGTATCAACAGCAATATTTTATTTTTAGGCAACAGGAGAATTATGCATACTAAACAATGTGGAGTCAGGAAGAAAACTYATGAGATAAACCTTTGTGCTTGCTTGATGCTGACTAATGATTTAACATCACATGTCTAATTGAGTTCAGTCTTAGAATATTTACTGATTATGCAGTAAGGCTTAAACTGACGATGTGAAATACCAAAGGAGAAAAAAATCTGAGGGTAAGTTTGAAGAGAATTGTCTAGAAGGAATTATATGGCTCACAGTGCTCGAAACTGGAGCATCAACTATTTTTATCTAATTCATCTTCAACGTGTCCCTTTCACATAAATCAAATATAGTTATTCCATATTTTCACAGAGAGAGTGTGTGGAATTTCATAAATATCCCAAACACACAATGCAATCCCTTTAAATTGGGTAATTTTCCAGTTTGGGAAAATCCAAGTTGTCATAGTGGTTATCAACATGAACCAATGGGTTAATCTATTATCCAAACCTACTGTTGTATGAATCAGGCAACTCTGAACAGAAAACTTTACATGGGAATCAAAGAGATTTTCTAAAATTGGTATTATTGACCTCATTAAGTGGAATAGGTCTGCTACTAATATTTCTTCTCCCACTTAGTATGTAAAGAAAAACCTGAATATTTGATCAGTATCACATAGAAAGTTTCTGGCACATGTAGTACTTATTTTTGGTAAAAGATTTAGTGATCTCAATGATCTGTTTATTGCCCAGAAATATGGTATGGAGGGATGGAAAAGGAGAGCATCATAACCTGACTGTGGATAAAATGCAGCCCCACTAGGGCTCAACTCTTTGTAGGGAAAAATAAATTCTCTCTAGCATTTCATCCATTCATACATTCTACAAATATTTACTGGTATTTATTATTCTAGGTGCTTAGGATACATTGGTAAATACAAAAGTCTAATATATCCTCATAGGCACTGACATGGGAAATAAAAACATAAATTGTAGAGGTTTGGGGAAATAGCTCAGTTGGTAGAGTGCTTGCCTAGCATGCACAAAGCCCTGGGTTCAATCCTCAGCACCACCACCACCACCAAAAAAACAAAAAACAAAAACAAAACAAGCAAAAAACACATAATAAGTAAGTTATATAGTATGYTATAAAGTGATGTATGTATAGAAATGTAAAACATGGAGCAGGATAGGGGATTTTGGAATGCTGAGTTGGATTAAGCGTAAAATTCTATCACTTATGCATAAATGGAAATGTTGGATATGTGTTCTTGCATAAGCTAGGTTATCTCTGAGATTCTTTAAGATATCAAGGTTAAATAATGTGATTTTTAGAGGTTCAGATATTCTATTATTCTGTGAAAAWTTTTTTGAATTAATTAATTTAATTAAGTGTATATGACAGCAGAATGTATTTTGATTCATTGTATACAACTGCAGCACAACTTTACATTTCTATGGTTGTACATGATRTAGTATCACACTATGTGCAGTTATACATGTACCTAGGGTAATGATTTCCTTCTCATTTCACCATCTTTCCTGCTCCCATGTACCCTCCTTTTCCCTCTCTCTACTTTGCCCATTCAAAGTTTGTTCTGTGAAATTTTTAAGGTAATTAACTTAAGAAATTAGGCACTCAGTAAAGCATAAACTTCTAGAAAATAAATCAATTTAGATCTTCAGTGTCCTGGGTTCATTTCCAAGTACTGAGAGAAGAGAGAACAAATAAATAAGAAAGAAAAGGAAAGAATAAAGAAAAGAAACGAAAAAGAAAAGGAGAGAGCACTAGTGGTGAGTAGAAAATGTGTAATTAATTTGGTTTATGAGTGATTAAAAATCTGTTGCTAGAGTGACACCTTTCAAGATTTCATACCAAAATGCTATATATATTATTTGTATTATGTTTTTAGTAGAGATAATACTCCAAATGCATTATCACATGCATAAATATATATTAGATGTGTGCATATTGACATTTTTGCTGTAAGTATATTTAATACCACATATCAGGRTGGATGAAGGTTTTCATGGCTTCTAAGGTATACCTTAAGATCTGACTTTTAGGAATGTAGTTAAATCACTTTCAGCACAGAGTCTATTATCATGAGAAAGTCCAAGCTATTAAAATAAAATCTTGCCCCAAGTTGAAGATATAAAAAAAAAAAAATGACCACATGGGAAACAGTCTAAAATAATATATAATTAAATTGGTGACAGTCAAACTGTTTTATCTGTGTAATTACTGATAACATGATCCACAGATGAACAACAATGATTAAACAGAAATGCCCCAAGGCCACTGTTTAATAGGGGATTAGTGTAACTGTACTGAGCACACAGGGGGATCAACTTTATGTTTAAATGGAGAGGAGGAAGAGACATCTTCTCCAAGGCCACTTGAAAGCCCACTTCCACCTCATCTTGAAAGCTGATTTGGCAGAGAGAAGGCAGTTGTCATGGAGATGGCAAGCATGACTTGGATAAAGTGGCAAAATTATAACATTTTACAAATACCATCAGAATTGAGAAAACATGATTAAGGAAAGTAGTAATTGCCAAAGAAATTAGTCAATAGAGATTCAATGCTGCAGACTTGACTTTGAGTAAATATCTAGTAAACACTAAAATATCCCACTGGATATCTCATCATAGATCAGGTTCAGCAGGATAAAAATGATGTAGGACAAATGGAAGAACTACAYTGGAACTGTTCACTTAGTTAAGGATCTAATATCCTTTCCCAAGTCCCATGATATTCAATGCTATCATGAACACATCTTTTTCTATCTATACCTATCCCTGGAATACAGTACTTCATTCCTGGTGCTTTGAATTGACAGTGGAAGAAGTCTTCTGTCTTTGGCCAATTTCAATTAATTTTGTATTTTTTTTCTTTAATAAGTGTTCCAATTTTTTTTTTTTTGTGAGACTCACAGAATATTTTAAAAGTTTTTTTTTTTTCCCTAAAAGTAAGATTGTTAAGTGACTTACTTAAGCTTTCTTGCATCTAATTAGCAGATCAGGATAAAAGTGAGAATATATTAAAGTTATTCTGGAAGTTCACAGGTAATTCTATAAACAAATTATTATCTCAGTGGCTAACTATGCATAACAAGTTAAATGTGAGTGAACACTTATATGCAGCATTCCAATGAAACACATTTTTAAAGTGATCTTGAATTTCACATTTTAATAAGTAATTATAATTTTCTACTTTATAATCTCAAAATAGGAAGGAAATTTATATTTTTCTTGGTATCTAAGACATAGTATCTTTGTTTTTTTGAGGTAGAAAATAAAATACTCATTTACTCCTAGAGACATTTCTCAAAGTATGTATATAATAAATATTTTTCTTTTGTAGTTACTGTTCTAAGTAAATGGAATAATCTCCAATTTCCAATGCACATATGTTAACATGAAAAATACTATATCTAGATTCTCAATACCATGGAATATTTGAGGTTCACATCTCTAGACTTTGATGAAATAGGAACTCTATGATTTTTTTTTAAGGAAAATGTTTTTAGAAAACATTGTAAAGAAAGGTTTGAGATTCCAATAAATATGTCACCGTGGTATCTTGATTGTTTGTAAATGTGAGATGGTTCCATTAGTTTGTTCCAATAGCAGAAGTTATTTTGGCAAGGCTGGAGGGTAGTGTACCTAGATCCTAGCCATTTAACTCATTCTTTTTTGGTCATCCCTATCAAAAAGGTTGGAGTTCATTAACTAGTGCTTGAGAATACAATTACAACACATGTGTGATTCAAAACAGATGTATTAAAATAAAAGAATAGTGGACAAATATCKTTTAATGCTGCCCATGTTAAGGGAAAAAACTCAAGGAGTTCAGTATATACTTTGATCAAAGATGGCCACGATTCAAACTTTTTGCAACTCAATTATCAGTGCATTTTCGTTTTCTATTTTGCTTTAGAAAATAAAAGCATCCAGTTTTCTAGGACTGTGTACATTTTCCTGTGTTCTGTTGTTGTGGTTTTATTTTTTGCTAATCTCAGCTTGATGGACAATAAACAGATGTTTTGAGTTTTCACCAATTACTATTTTCCACCTCTCCTCTCTGCTACTTAATGACACTTAGGGCACATTACAAAGCTTGCCAGTTTGGTTGTTAAAAGTCTGTCTCYTTTAAAACTTTAATCTCAATTTGAATTCAAACATTACTTCCTCTTTAAATCCTTTCTGTACACAGACCATTGGGGACTGTTGGGTCTACTGAGTGAAGAGGCTCTTGAAAAGCTCCAAGAGGTTTCTGGAACCATTTGTGCCTATTCTTTTAAGGATATGGGCCCCATCAGGCTTCTTGGCTTTGGACAATTAGACGATGCCACCAAGTGTCCTGTTAGATATAAGTGAAACATCATGTGGTGCTCCACTGTGTTCAGTTTAGAACACACTCCCGAAAAGCTTTAGTACCATACGTATGCATTTTACTTCTACTCCCAAAGACAGCAAATATGAAAACTGAAGAAAAATTGCATTACCATGGCTGTTACATCTGGATGTTTCCACTAGCCTTCCATTTTGATCGTAGCATGCCATTGCTTGGTAACGATATCCTTGTCCACATTCCTTGATGTCTCCTTGTATTTTCATTCCCAGTAACACTTCCACTTTCCCTTCTGGTAAAATGCAGTCTGACCAGTTCCCTACAGGCTGTGCATTGTATTTGTCACAAGGACAATACTGAGTCTCAATCAGGGGGTACAAATGGGAATTTTTACATTTTTCTTTCTTTTTACTTTTTCCTGTGGAAGAGAAACATTTGACAATTTAAGTTGGAAAATAGCATTATTAATTTAAAACATCCCTAAATTTTCTACTCTTCTAAACTTCCTTTCTCTGATTTAACAATACCCATTACTAGCCTATAAATAAAACTATTTTCTCACTCCAAAGTGCTTCCTATGCAGATTTTTGCTGGTGTTGTGTGCTTTGCATAGTAAAAAATTTTCTTATATTCTCATTTAAAAATGGCCCATTTTGTATAAGGGACTACTTACTGTGTTGAATTTTAAACTCTCCAAAATGAATAAAATCCTCTAAAATGAAAAAAATTATTTCCACTGATTGGGGAATTTGAGGTGATTGCAAAAACCTCACATACGCAGAAATATGAGCCAGAGACAGTCACTTCCTTGGTAACTGCAAATAGTGTAGTTACATAGGATTAAAATTCAGAAAAGATTTATGGGCTATATGTCTCCATCTATGCATTGTATTTTTCAGAATTTCTGAATAGTAATAATTTTCACATAGGTGGTGATTAATGTAGGAAATATAAATAATATTAAAAATGAAGATATTTAATATTAGAATAAAATATTTGAAAAGTTTTGAGTAAATTCCTTCTTAAAATTATATAAATTCYTCTTGAGTACAAATTATATATATGCCTGAAAATATATCTAGTTAATTATTTTTGTTATATCACAAACTATTTTATTATATTAAATAATATATTCTCTTGTATATAATTAATTACCTACACCTATCTCTAACTTAAACTTTAAGTTTTCTTATGTTATTTTCAATGGACTCCATTTTACAGGTGGTTGTTTTAATAATTTAAACATTCTGAATGGTCTATTACCACCAATATTTTCTGCTGTCTTTTGCTACTGACAGTTTTTGCAATGTGTTAGTCTTCAGTTCAGTGTGAGGGTTCCTGTGTTGCTTGGTACATTACTGACTTTTGTCATTGTGACTCTCTTTTYAGATGGAGTTTCAGATACAGAATTAATGTCATATTTCTCCTTCTAGGAGATGATGGATAACCTGAACCTATGACAGTGAGGCTGGGTTAAGAAAATGAAGAAGCGACCTTTCTTCCTTGCTCCAAGCACTTTGCAATTTCTAGGCAATTCACTGCAAGTGTATGTTTAAGCTAAAAAATAATCTATCATGTATTGCACAGTCAATTTGAATAGGGAGTCAGTCAGGTTGCTTATTCTTTCTATTAAAATGACATAATGCTTCKATTACTGCCAACTTACATTAAAATACACACCCAAGTCCACTGACATATTTGGTGTAGGAACAGCAACAAGAGACAGTTGCAGTTTTCAGATACATTGTCAAAGCTCTCTTGGTCTGACTTCTATTGTGTTTTTCTACCTTGACAAGATTGGTTTAGGCATCCTAATTTTTCTTACCAACAATAGTACGCTTTCTGGTCCTAACTGCACCACAGTCTCCATTGCATGAAGAAAACTTGGACCAGCTGGTAAATTGACAGTCATCTTGGCAGGGGATCTGGCAAGCTTGTGTGAGGGCTGGCACAGGGCCTGCATACCGGAGGCAGTCATGGATGCCAGCCTGTCCTCCATCTTGCTTTCGACAAGTAATAGCTGAATGAAAAGCATAGTTCTAATTACTCTATAATTCAGAAATTCACATTTGCTCTGTCAGAGGAATCCTTTTAATTCCCTACTACAGTAGAAATCTGGTAGCAGTGTTTCTAATAATCACAGTACACATAATATTGATTGTAAGTTTTTTAAAATAGCAAATAACCTTCTGGGTTTTTGTGGCACAAAAAAGCACATACCACACCCACACCCACACATATACACAGGAAAAAACACACAGAGCATTTAGCAGCTTTTACTAGATTCTGTTAAAGATTTTAATTTCTGTCACATGTGGGGTATAAAGAAATGAATTTTTTTAGGAGACTTTTCATATATGCATTCTGATCACAGTTTATGTTGGACTTAGGGTATTCAAAAGGTGCTGGGAGAAACCAGTTACCTTTAAATTATTTTATAACATTGAGCAATCTAGAATTTCTAAATAGAAAGGTCTTAGCAACAAATTGGTTGATAGTTTGAGGTGCGGAGGGAGTACTTATGCAACTTGTCTTGAAACTCATAGAAAGCATGTTTTTGTTTTTATGTATACTGTAAATTTACTAGGAGGTTCTGATGTAGTTAATGGAAGAAATTAAAATGGAAACTAGAAATGAAAAAGGAAACTTTTAACGATCATACTTTATCATATCATTATCAGCATTTCCACAGTTATGTACACTAAGATTATCAAATGATTTAAATTCATAAATTATTTATTCAAAGGTATTATTCTAGTGAATTACTTAAAACAAGAAACAATTTTATTACTTACTGAACATGGATATAATATTAAGGTAATAAAGGTCATAAAGAAAAACAGCAAGCAATGCTTTCAGTCCTGTTTCTCCTCTGTCATTTCTCACATTGGTTTTAAAAATAATTCATTCATTTACTGAGAAAGCAGATGAACCATTTAAACTTTAGTCCTAAATTTTTAATCCTCATTGAGTTACCTTAAATGGCCTAGTTTAGATGAATTAAATGGATTTCTCAAGTTTATGGTCTAGGCTAAAGCTGGGCTGATTTATCCTTGCTCAGGACCTCATCATCATGAAATTAAGGGGAGAAGCCTACATTTTGATCCTAAATTACAGTTAGGACTCAGAGGGCTCCAGCTTAGACAACATTGTCTTTATCTGTGAACTAAAACTTAACATCTGTTAGTGCAGGGCTGTGTAATGGGGYGTGTAAAGGGACATAACTAACAATTATGTTCTCTGTTTATTTAGTAAAACTTAATACAATGATTGCAGGAAGTTACATAAAAGACCCTTCTTCATTGTGCCAACATTAGTGAATACTCTCCTATTTTTTAGATGTCATTTCATTTTTATACCCAAATTTGGTATAGCCAATTAAGAACAGGAGTCTTTGAATTTTAAATACAGTAAAACTTGGTCAAGTGGAAACAGTGAGCTTTATGAAGTTTAGGTGACAAGGAAAAAACAGTAAGTATCACAAAGAGAATCTCACAAATTGTACCTAATCCTTCTTACACTATGCCAAGCTTTGGGAAACAATGGCATCTAGGTATGGACTAAGAGACCTCTGACTTAGATTTCAATAAGAGAACATGATGGGAACTTGAACAGGAACTGATCATAAACAGCATCCATCTAGTTGGAAGGATTGCTACCCTATGTAGTATATTAACCAATCGACGTGAGTTTGCAGGTCTCTCTACACCTGTTACTTGGAAGAGGACTGACCACTTACACACTCTAAACTTGGTAARTTCTCATGGTTCTTGGGGAAAGCTGGCCCAAGGATGCTCAAAAGGAAGGACTGACAAAGAGGTAGATAYTAGACATTTTACTAGCCAGGATACGTGGAGCCTCCAGAAATGGTTAATTTAGAAAATAAGAGATTTTACCATATTCATATCTTAAGCTGTGAGGGTTACACTATTCATAACTAAAAGAAAATTAAACATTACAAAACTAAATTTGGATTATTTGAAATGAAGCTACTTTTATCTACTTATCAATCTGGCTCCTTGAAACAAACCCTAATGTAAATCTTTTGAGAAATTAAATGAAATTTTCTTAGGTTCTCCATTAAGGATCTCACAATTATATTTCAGAATTGCTCCACTTATCATCATACTAAGTTACATACACACACAMAAAAAAAACCCCAGAAAACAAAATAAAACAATACCACTACAAATACAATTATGGAAACAGTTATTTTGCACAGAACTATTTAAATAAATAGTTTATTTCCCCATATGCCTTAAATATTTCAGGTATTTGAAAAGAAAAATATGTGTAAAATTCCCATGCCTGTTCTTAGACACCCACTCAGCACTCCACTCTTCTTATCTCAGATTCTTGACAGTGTACTTTTGGAATGAATTACTCATACAATGTTATCCAAACAAGTAGCAACAGCACCATTTGAACAATATATTGAAAATTTATCATACATCTCAATTTGTTTGCATTCTAACTCAGAGGAAACACAACAATCCAAACACAGAAATAAAATCTGAAAGAACTTCCTGCTATTGGATAAGGAAAATATAAATGTTTGGAAAGAGAGCCATCTGGTCTCTCAACTTTATAAATCTTAAAACCATTTTTAAGACATTGAAAACAGGGTGGTTTTAATTGTGGAAAAGATGGATCATACTAAGCACAGTTTCCAAAAAGCCATACACCAGAAAGCTATAGCTACCCACAAAATTTTATCTGCATTTGCAGGTGGAGTGTGTGTATCTCATGTATAAATTCTCCTTTGAGCCTTGTTAGGAAGATGTGCCAAAGATCATGCTATCCTATGGATAATGTACATGAAAGCTTTTAGTGGGAGATCAGCAAATATCAATATAATCATTTTAAAGTAAAATTCTATATTTAACTCTATCTTCATTATATACATATATTTCATTTATAATTTTATTTCATTTATATAAGGCACAACAATTTTTACTTGTCAGGGGACAATTTGCACCCAGCAGGTTAAAAACATGGGAGACATCAATGTGACTAACTTGTGGGTTGCATATGAATCAAGTTGGGTAAGCTTTGCCCATCAATTCTGAGGAAAAGTTACCAAGAAATAAGAAAGAGAGTTTCTTCAGCAAGTAAGTGCTACAAAAAAGAGAGCTCAAAAGGCTATTAGATTAAAAGTGACTCCAAAAAAATAAAAAGTAAAACTAGAAAAATGCAATTTGGAGACAATTTTTGGATCCTAATTTGAACATGTTCATTGTATGTAGACACTTTTGAGACAGAGAGGGAGAATTAAACATGGCCTAATCGTGGGATGATATGAATAGTTGTTAATTTTGTTTGTTGTGATAAGAATACAATTGTTATAAGAAAGAATAAAGTGTTTATGTGTGAAATATATCCTGTCTGAAGTGACTTTAAAATACTTCAGCAAAATTCTTTTTAGGTGTGTAGGAAATGGCAGATAATCAAGAATGGCAATATGTTGAAAACTATTGAAGCTGAATAAATGATAACTGCATTACTAGCATTCATATTAGTCTCCCTAATCTTGTGTATTTTTAAAACTTCCCATGAATTTAAATTAAAAAAGAWTAATGAGTATTATATGTATAGAAATTCCAGAATGGGTTTATAAACATAAAGAAAATATAAATTTTTAAAAGAAGAAAATAATAAAATTTCATAGTATGAATAGATAATCCTATTTGAACTAATGAGATGGATTTCTTCATTACACATGTGAGTATGTAAATGGAAGACTACTCATATAACTCTGAAGTAAATGTAATAGAATTCAGAATRTAGCTGCTTATCTTCATATTCTTGAAGAGGAATAAAACGCCTTTATTATTCACATTGCACAAAAAAAAGGAAACATCTATTGGTCAATGGATCACTCTTCAGCATATAAGACCATGCTGTACATTCATTGTAATAATCAGAGGGATATAAATTTTTAGATCTAAAATATACACATAAAAGTTCATTATAGGAAACAGGAAAAGAATCACTATCCTAGGGCAGTGAAAGCTGCTGGATTATCTGTAACAAGGAGTTCAAGGAGCTCTGAGACCTTATTTATTAAATTGAGCAATATGAGCACGTTTTATCCCACCCCAGTAGTGTCTAGGTAGCATTAGAGATATAATATATTCTGCTGATTGGGTGATTAGGTGAGAGATTTTTTCCCATAGTTTTATTTAAAAAATGACAATAGTCAGAATGAATCATGTAGAAATAAAAAGAAAAAGCTTCATGTGAATGGGAGCTGGTTACCTGGAGACCTAATTGTGCCTAGAAATAAGACCAGATCTATAAATAAAAAAAGAGGGCTCCACTTGTTTACTAGGTTGATGTAATGATCAGGTCTCTTTTGTGCAAAAGAGATTTTCACTGAAAAGTTTGTCAAATTATACTTCCTAATTACAGTTTGTGAATATAATGCTTGCAGAATGGAAACAAACAAACAAACAAAAAACAAAGGTACTTTTCTTTCTGATTGTTCTTAAATAGTTACCAAGGACCCCCGTCTCATTGATTCCCAGCATGTACTTGAAAATGCTAGTCTGTGAACTTACTAGGAAATATCAACCAGCCCCCAGAGGAGTAGCTCACATCAAGGTTGGCTAGACTGCAGTAGGATCTGGGAAGGCTTAACTAACTGTAGCATCACTTATGAAACCTCCTGAAACTATTGGAAACACAGTGTGTGCCAGTCTCGTTTTGTGACCTACTATTTAAAAAATGGCAAATGCTAATTACATTTTATGACAAGACTCTTAGATACAAAAGAAAATCAAATTTTCCAAGTCAACTGGGATGCTAATATCAAGAGAAAATGAGAGGAAAAACATTGGTGGTGGTGATCTTTTGGGAGGTTCCCATGGAGGTGCTGCTATCCAGGGTGTTATTGAGACTGAGGTCTTTTTACCCTTTCAGCATACAGCAGTAGGTGGTCATCTCAGCCTATAACTTGACTTTGATGTTCAACAGGGTCTTTTAATCTTGGGCCTTTTAATCTTCAGACCTGGTTTTTGC